CCGCGCACAGTCACGGCATCGTGGTGATGCTTTCAATTGGTGTCTGTTTCATGGGAGCCTGTGTGGCCCCTAGCGCTGTCCGACTCCCCTAGCGCTGTCCGATTTGGACCTGATTTGGCCCGCATTTGGAACACATGTAGGACTGGAGATTCGTCCGCTCACAAGGGAGACGAGAAGAACGAGGAGGGGGAGGAGAAAGAGGAGGGGCCAGAAGGGGCAGGAGGAAGGGCCCAACGCGGCCAGGAGCTGACGTCAATGCCGCCGCCCAGGGCTCCCAAAGACAGGCACCGATCTTTCCGGACTGCCCCACGGTGGCCCCTGCATCGACTCCACATGCCGCGCGGACGCCGCAGCGGGGCCCCGGCGCAGCTGCGGATCGCGCGACGACCGACCACCCTCTGAGCTTCCGCCGCCGCTCGCCGCACGACTGGGGGAACAAAAAGTGGCATAAACATAAAAACTCGGAAGTCCGCGCGGATTTCTCGGATCGGCGCTGGACCCCCCTCCCTGGCGCGCCCGCGCCCGCGCCCGCGCCCGCGCCCGCGCCCGCGCCCGCGCCTCCCGCCGCGCACTCGCATGCACGCGCGCCCGCGCCCGCGCCCGCGCCCGCGCCGCCCGGGGGTCCCAGCGCGGATCCGAGAAATCCGCGCGGACTTCCGAGTTTTTATTTTGATGTCACTTTTTGTTCCCCTAACGACCCCACCGAGGCCTCGGAGTAGACCAACCGCTCCGAGATGGAGAACTGGTACCTCTCGCCCTCCACCAGGTAGGCCCAGGGGCCCGCCAGCTCGCGCTGCCCGGGCGCGGGCTCCTGCGACGGGGGGCACGGCCCCCGGGAGCGGAGCAGGCCTCGCCAGAATGAAGGGGCCCCAGGACACACAAATAAATACACACAAATGAAAAAATCCCCATATTTGTCCATATGTTCTGAGTTTTTGTCTTCCCCCCCACTTCCCATATTTTCCCATATTTTCTGGGAAGCGACGATTACTTGTGTCTGTGTGTTTTTTCCCTCCTGACAGAACTCGGCGGTGCGCCCGGGAGGGGGAAGGCGGACGGGGTCGTGAGGCTCAGCCTCTGGCCTTCTGGGATGCTGTCTAGGCCTTCTCCGAGGCCGCAGCGGGCTTCTCGGAGGGGCAGAGGGGCTCCGAGAAGCCCCGCCGCCTCCTGAGGAGGTCTCCCCCCCCTCCCGCTTCCCCCCCCCCCGGCGCGCCGCCGAAGAGCGAGCGAGAGACGAAGAGGGCGAGGGATGCGAAAGCTCACCCCGCCAGGAGGCCTCAGACAGCACGCGCAAGAGCACAGCACAACACGACCTCGGGGCCCAAAAGCCGTCTGGTGACGGACCGCGCAGTGACCTCGGAACCCCCAACGGCCTCACCGCGCGGTCCGCCAGCACATGGCTGCAGGACTCGGGAGGCCCCAGGTCGTCCGACGAGACACCCTCGGGGAACGACGCGAGTCCCCAAGCCGTGCTTTGACCCCGAATCGTCCTCCTCCTCCTCCTCCTCCTCCTCCTCCTCCTCCTCCTCCTCCTCCTCCTCCTCCTCCTCCTCCTCCACCACCACCACCACCACCTCGCGATGTGGCCACCACACCGTTTGGGGGGGGGCCCGAACGACGCCGGGCCCGGCACCACATCCGACACGGCACGGCACGGCACGGCACGGCACGGCACCGCCCTGCCGAGGCACGGAGCCCGCGGGAAGCGGAGCCTCGGCGGCGCGCTCTCGGGGGGGGGGAAGGCGGAGGGGGCCGGCCCTCGGAGGCGTCCCTCTCTCCTCGGGCGGGGACCTCTTGAGCTCGTAGGGCGCTTCGGGCGCGTCGGCCGCCGCGGCGGCGCGGCGCGGTGCGGTGGAGGAGCGCTGTGGACTCCGCGGGCCTGCGGCCCCCTCGGGAGTGCAGTGAGTGAGTGAGAGGGGGCCAGCCTCCTCAGAAGGCTCGCGCCTCCCGAGAAGCCTTCTGACTCTGCCCCGAAGCCCCGCCGCCTTCTGGGAAGGCATGCCCCCTCTCGCTTCCCCCCTCGGCGCGCCGTCGAAGGACGCTCCAGGAGCGTCCTGGGGCGCTCTGGGAGGCCGAGTTCTCTGGAGCGCTCTGGGAGGCCGAATTCTCTGGAGGTCCCCGGCAGCCAGCAGCCTCCTGGCTAAGGATCCAAGGTACCAGTTGCTACTGTCAAGCAGCTTTAACGTCCTCAAGAGAGAGAGAGAGAGAGAGAGAGAGAGAGAGAGAGAGAGAGAACGAACGAAACAACAAAAAAAAAACGACGATATTCGCCAGAGTGGCAGTGCGGGCTGCCGCAACTCTTACTCGGACCACGGGGCGGCCGACAAAGAAAAGCGAGCCAGGCAAGGAACAGAAACGGGCCGGAGAGCGAGGAGCCGAGGAGCGCTCCGCCCTGGTCCTGGCCCGCCCGATGGCCGCTCGCGCGTGCGGGGAGGCGCCCTCGCCCCGGGCCTCGGAGCAGTCCCGCCCTCGCACTTCCTCCCCCCCCCCCCCCTGGCGCGCCGTCGATCATGGGCTTACAGTCAACCCCGTATGACAAGGGTGCGCGGTGAGGGTGCAAGGGCCTTGGAGAGCCACGCCAACGCTTTTTGAGAGAGCCTGGGCAGCGAAAGCCGCGGAAGGAGGGGCCGAAGGGGCAAGGATGCCAGTGTACAGTGGAGGCCAGTCCACAAGAAGCCTGCCGCCAGAGACCCAACCCCGAGACCCCAGGACGTCCATCGATGTTCGGTGTGGGGACGTCACGCTTCCCGTGGCCAAACCATCGAAACCCAAGAAACCCAGGGCACCCTGGAGGCAAGCAGGGTGTTCCTTGGCATGGACCTCCACTGCAGCCTCGAAACGTCGCCCACCCTTTTGCTGTGCGGGTTGCCTGCAGGACCCACGGCGCGCTCGCTCTATGTCGGGTCTGTCCCCCTACAGGGGGATTCTCGACGAAAAATGAAAAATACCCCCAAAAATATGTTTAAAAAAATAGTCCCAAAATAGTCTGGGGACTATTTTGGGGGGTATTTTTTGACCTTCTTGGGGTATTTTTGGCTCGCGGGCCGGGCCCACGACGCGCCGCAGGCCGCGCCGGGGAGCGGCCGATCGCGCGCCCAGGCCCCCGGATCACGGGCGAGCGTCCGCCCCGCCCCGCCCCGCGCCACGAGCGCCCCCCCGCGCCAGAGGCTGCGCCGTAAGGGCCTGCCACGAGCGACGAGCAGAGGCGTGCCTCACGCGAGGGGAGGGGCGCAGCGGCCCTGCGCGGCGGCTGGCGCGGGACGCCAGGCGCAGCACGCTGCGCGGGAAGCGAGGGCGCTCGAGAAAGCGACCCTGCGCGGGCAGCTTGCGCGCGGACGTCGGCACGGGCGGCCCTGCATTCTTCCGTCGCTCGCACGTTCTGTTTTCGTGCACCGGCATCTCCAACTCCAGCAGCAGCTCCACGCCCAGCCACCGGCCCACCGGTCTGCACACAACTGAGTGTGCACCGCCTGGAGTGTGCACGCAGCGTCTGGGCCCCGAAAGGGCGAATCACGACGCTGATCCGCTTCAATCTTTGATGATCAGCAGATCGTGAGCTTGCTTGCTCAGGTTGCTCGGGAAGGCTTGCGCTCATCGTGCAAAGCACGCTATTACACACGCCGAGAAAGGACACTGGTATGACATAGGCATGCGAGAAACTGAGGGCAGCTCGACTGAATTGAACGTTTCGAAGGTTATGGGGACGAGTTGAATGCGAATATGCCCAACATCAACGAATACCAGGTCGTCAACCAAATCAAAAAACACGAATGCGAATGGATGGTATGTGTAACAGAAAACAGGCAATACACGGCAAACGTACCTGCAACGCGCTGGCAACACCGTTGCAACTGTAAAAGAATAGCGAGCGGCAAGCCTTCAGCTCTGCCTCCCTTCGAGCACTCCGACTTTTACGCAAACACTACAACATCTGGTGCCCGGGGAAAACGCTACGCCTACCCATGGCTCTGTCGGGAGTCCGCCCTCTTCCAGGAAGACGCCCCTCGTCCATGCTCTGCGCCGGTGCCCCGCACGCCTGTGACCTGATGACGGCGGCGTGCTGATCGATGATCCACAGAACGTGTGCTTGCGTTCACGTGTGCATGCCCACCGAAGCCGCGGAAGCGAACGGGGTAAAGCACACACACACACACACACAGTAGGCTGGGCCCGGCGGCAGCACGCGCGCACGGCCGACGCGACGTGCCTCCCTCTCTGGCGCGCCAACTTCTTGGGGAGGGGGAGAGGAGGAAGGCCGAAGGCAGCGGCCCGTGGCGGCCCAGACATCGGTGCCCACGTCCTCGCGGCCTGGACCCCCGGGCGCGGTCCGATGGGCACGCGGTCGCAGATGGGCACGCTTCGCGCGGGGCACCCGCGAGAAGCCGCCCCGTGTCAACGGGGTCGCGGCCCAGGGGCCCGAGGCCGTGGGTACGAATAATAGACTCCCTGCCCACGAGGTCGCAGGCGCCCGTCGCGGTTCACGCTCGGCAAGGTCAGAGCACGAGGGAGAGGGTTAGGTCGGGCATGTCCCCCTACAGGTGGATTTTGCACGAAAGATAAGAATACTCCGGAAGATCCAGGAAAGAATCAAAAAGTGCCCAAAACATCGTCCCCGTACTATTTTTGTTAGATATGTTTGAAGATTCCTCCTGTATAGGGACAAGCCCGACTTAAGGAGAGGGCGAGGAGGAGCACGAAGGAGAAAGGATGAGGTGGGGAGGAGCGGGAGCACGAGGAAGCCCTCGTCTTACTCCCCAACCCCGCCCTGTCCGCAGCGCCCGGACGCACAGAGGTCGTCGTGCGCCGGCGTGCTACTCTACGTCCTTGTGCAGACGCTCATGGGAGCCTTCGCGCTACGCTTAGACGTTTGCTTTCGTTCCATTTTCGTTGTGAACGTTTTTTTCTTGGCGTTTCGAAATTGGGCGGAAGGGGGGGGGCGAGGGGGGGTGGTCTGGCTCTGGACCTCTGCTTAGTGAGACTGTTTGCAAGAGGGCGTCCGTCATGGGGGAGGCTCCACCCGCTCGAAACAGGCGCCAAAAACAGCCAAGATCTACTCCACAGGAGGGGGGAGGGGGAGGTGCGAGGGCCCGCGCCGATCGGCAAAAGACGCTCACGTTCCAATTCCGTTCCACTTCTGTTCCGCCTCCGTTCGAATACACTCAACGTCCCCTCCGTGGGCCCAGCGCCATCAGAGCACAGCGGCCGCGGGGGCACGCGAGCGACGCAGAAGCGGCACGGAGAGGGCACGGACTCTGCAACAAGAAGGTATAGCGTGACCATGTGTCTGGTCTGCGGCGAGCTGGGTCCAACCAGCGGTCAAGCAAACGTGAGGACGCACGAGGTAGAACGTGACACGAAGGCCCCCCACGAACAACGACCCAAATGCCCTCTTCAGCAGGTAACACGAAGGTCAAGCGGTCCACCAACAAGCGGTCAAGCAAACGTGAGGACTACCCAAGGTAGAACGTAACACGAAGGCCCCCTTCAGAGGTGTCCGACGGAAACCGTAAGATCTGGTGGGACCGTCCAGCGCACCCCTCCTGGGCCCAGGAGCACGCCACCCGGGCACCCTGCGTCGACCATGGCCAGGCATGCCCAGGACCCAGCACGGGTGCACGTCTGTGGCAACTTACGGGAGCCTCCCATATCGTCTTGCTGGCTCTTGGACGTCGGTTAGCAGACGCCAGCGCACACGACTGCACCCAGAAGGAAACAGAAGTTCGAGGACACACAAGGCTCCCACGAGTTGCCACCGAGGTGTACACACCCTCCCGACCAGGAAGGCGCCGTGCGCCAACACTGGGCCAGGAGCTCGCCCGGTCAGGATCGGTGCAGGCGAAACATCACGAGGCGGGGACTTGTGCAAATCCACCGCCGAGGAACCGATGTCCTGGGGGGGTCTGGGGTCATCCGTTCCCCAGGCGGACGGCAAGTACCAATCCTGCAAGCCATCAGGCGGGACGATGCATCGGACCAGGCCCCCTCCCTCCCCTTGACAGTGCTCGGACGTCCATTCCTCGTGCGCGTTCCGGTTTCGTGCGTGTTTTGTTTGGTGGTCGATGATCCAGGATGCTCCTCGCTGGTCCTCGCCCCCCCAAAAAATGCACGCGTCCGGGCGATGCCAAGTCCCCCGAACCACCCTTCGCCAAGGTGGCAGATATGCGCGGCAGCATAGCTGGTGTACTTGCCTTGCCCCACCAGGGCGGAGGGGGGGCGGGGCGTCGCTCTCCACGAGCAGCACCATGAGGCGTCGAGCCAAGGGGGCAAATGAGAAGGGGCAGGCCCTCTCGGAATGTGGGCGGGGCTTCTCAGAAGCCCTCGCACCTTCTGGCAAGCTTCCTGAGCTCAAAGGGTCCAGGGGCACGCACACACACACACAAGTAAACGGAAATCCACGGTTGCCCCATATCTTGCACATTTTTCGGGATGTTCGCCATCCCCACCGCTTCCCAGATTTCCAACAGCTTTCTGGGGATCGACGGCTATTTGTCTGTGTGTCTGTTCCCTCCTGATGAGCCTTCTCCGAAGACGGAGGCGACGTCGCAGAGGTCAGAGGGCTTCTGAGAAGCCCCGCGGCTTCTGCGAAGGCCTGCGACCTCCCGCTTTCCCCATGGGCTCGCCGCCGAAGCATCTTGACCCCAGGCGGCGGAGGATGAGACACGGCTGCGCTCCCATGGCAAGAAGCACTGGAGCACGCAGCGATACAGCACGCTCTCGCCCTGCGCGATGGACTCGTAGGAGCACAGCCACCGCGTCACGCGCCCCTCCTCCTGCAGGGCCGCCAGGGACGCTTCGGCTCCGCCGGGCACGGCACAACTCGGTCTGGTCTCGTGTGGCAGAGATGGGAGTCTGACATGCTCTCTCTCTCTCTCTCTCTTTCTCCTGCTCCCTTCCCTCCTTCCTCTTACATATCCCCTCCTCCTCCTCCTCCTCCTCCTATTATATATCGCTCCCTCCCTCTGTCTCGACATAAATGTATAGACGCACGTACATACCCATGGATGTATATACGCATGTTTTTTATCTGCGGGGCGAGCGCGAACCTCTTCCGCTGAAGCTATGCGGGCTACGCACAGCTTTAATTAGGGAGACAGGGTACGGGAAGGCGGGGCCTCAGGCGGCCGGAGTGGGCAAAGCCCAGGGAATGGCTGTATATGCACATACCCATACAGTCATACGTATATGCATGTATACATCCATCATCTCTCATTCGCCTCCTAACCAATTGTCCTCGTCCTTTCCCGTGCTTCTCCACTTCCCCCACAAATTCACCTCCGCTTGGCCTCTGCTCGCCTATCCGCGTGCGGACGTTCGCCGTCGTCCGGGGAGTGCTGCTCCCCCTACGTCAGACGCGGCAGAAGCATCGAACGTGTCGGCGAGCCAGCGCGACGCGCACACGGGGCGCTCAAGTCGGGCTCCCAGGTGTGAAACTCCTTCACCTCCCCCTCCTCTCCCTCCTCATACCCCCCCCCCCCTCCTACTCCCCCTCCCCCCCTCACCATTCCCCTCCCCCGTCTCCTCCCCGTCCTCCTCTCGTCCCCCTCCTCCCCTCGCGGAAAATCACGACGGGAGCTCCAGACCCATTTCTTTTCAAGCCGGACCGATCTGTGATGGTCCTGGGGCCCCGAAACCAAGCGAAATCACCCGCTGTGAATTTTGTGCAACGCCCGGATCTCAAGGTCCTCCTCCACCTCCCCCATTCCCCCTTCCACCCCCTCCTCCTCCGCCGACAAAGCCCACGCGCGCCCCGCCGGCTGTCGCCCCCGGTGCGGTCCTGGAAGGCCTCGCGGATGTCGTTGCGCTCCTCGCGCCGACGGCCCGAGCGAGGCGGAGAAGAGGGGGGGGGGGGAGCACCTGAGAAGGCCGAGGGGTTCTTGGAGGTTGGAGTACCACGAGGGGCCTGTTCTAGACCAGGAACGTACCGTAGACGGATCTACCCTTTCTCCGACTTTACACTGCGCCGAACGCAACAGCCGCGCTGTCTGTAGACGCATCCACCCGAATGTAAATGTATATATATATATAGAGATATATGTATACGCATGTGTGTGTGAATATGTGTATGTATGTATGTGTGTATGCATGCATGTATGTATGTATGCATGTATGTATGTATGCATGTACGTATGTGTGTATGTATACATGCATGTATGTATGTGTGTATGTATGTATGTGTGTATGTACGTACGTACGTATGTATGAATGTATGTATGTATGTATGTATGTATGTATGTATGTATGTACGTACGTACGTACGTACGTACGTACGTACGTACGTATGTGTGTGTATGTATGTATGTATGTATGTATGTATGTATGTATGTATGTATGTACGTACGTACGTATGTATGTATGTATGTATGCATGTATATATGTATGTACGTATGTGTGTATGTATGTATGTATGTATGTGTGTATGTATGTATGTTTGTATGTATTTATGTATGTATGTATGTATGCATGCATGCATGCATGTATGTATGTATGTATGTATGTATGTATGTGTGTGTGTATGTATGTATGTATGTATGTATGTATGTATGTATGTATGTATGTATGTATGTATGTATGTATGTATGTATGTATGTATGTATGTATGTATGTATGTATGTATGTACGTATGTGTGTGTGCACGTACGTATGTACGTACGTATGTGTGTATGCATGTATGTATGCATGTCTGTATGTATGCACACGTGTATGTATAAATAAATAAATAAATATATATATATATATATATATATATAGATATGTGCACACACGTAACGACACCCGATGTGTCCATAGGCGCTTATGGCCAGGAAGCCAGAGCGGCAGTTGGCACAGGCCCCAGGTAGTGGTCTTCTAGAAGCAGCAGGCAGACTTCGCCCTCCAGCCTGGGGGACCTCCTGCCTGCTAGTCTGGAAGACCCCGACCCCCTCCGGAAGGCACCCCGAGCAGGCCGCCCCCCCTCCCACCACCGCCCTCTGCGCGCGCCGCCCCCCGAGAAGTCGGCGCCGCGGAGAAGCTGCAGCACCGCGACACACCACGACGGCATCCCCAGGCCCAAACTTCCTCCCCCACATTCCTCCTCCTCCACCCCCCCCCTCCCCCCTCCCCCCTCCCCCCCTCCCCCTCCTCCTCCTCCTCCTCCTCCTCCTCCTCCTCCTCCTCCTCCTCCTCCTCCTCCTCCTCCTCCTCCCCCTCCCCCTCTCCCCTGTCTGCCGCGTGCTTCGAGCCGGATCAACGGGCGGCGCCGGGGCCCGACGCCGTGCGAAAATCGACGGCACGCAGGAGCGTGCCCTGGAAGAGAGCGGCCTCGGGTTCGCGGCTTCTCGGGGGCCGCGGGGGGGGACCAAACTCAAGACGGCGAGACGCTACCTGACTACCCCCCCCACTGGAAATCGAGGGTAAATCTGAGCCTTCGGGTTGGGTTGGGGTGGTTTGGTGGGTGGTGACTACCACCGCATCGCGCTCGGCGGTCGAGGGACCCCCCTGGGCCCGCACCAAAAAGGTCGCTCTGGCAAGAGGTCACTCCTGCATGGCCGCGACGCCGCCCCGCGTCCACTGCCAGGCAGCGTCAGCACAGACTGGCCGCCCGGCCACTCCGGTCGAAGTCCTTCGCGCTGTGAGTGCCCTCCCTCCTCTTCCTCCTCCCACGGCCGCGCTCCGCCCTTGTCTCCCCCTCTTGCCGCCGGACACTGAGCTCCTGCCACTGCCTGGACCACTAGAGCGCGCGTGCGGATTGCCTCTGCCTCGCTGCGACCGGAAAAGTGTAGTCCTAGGTCGGGCATGTCCCCCCTACAAGCGGATCTTGGACGAAAAACGAAAAATACGCCAAACTAAAAATACTCCAAAATAACCAAAAATAGTCCAAAATCGTCCCCTGACTATTTTTGGGCTGTTTTGAATATCCCTCCTGTAGAGGGACACGCCCGACTTAAGCGCAGTCGAGAAAGCGCCTAGTGGGCAGAGATCGCCACGCCCGGATCCCAGGGGCCCAGCACCCTTGAGCATCGTTGATCCGATCCATTTCCCCAGCGGCGTGGCCTGGGCCCCACTGGCCGACTTACCCCCCCCTAGATGGGGATACAGGCCGTTCCCTTCGCTTCCAGGAGGTGTATCCCCAACTGGGGTGGTAATTTGGTGGAGTTTGGAGTCCCGAAAAGGTGCGGTGGCAGACCGTGCGGTGACCTCGAAACCCCCCAAGACCTCACCGCACAGTCCGTCACTGCACGGTCTTGGGACCCTGGAGGCCCCTGTCGCCCGAGACATCCTCGGAGAAGGACTCGAGTCCAAAAACCGTGCGGTGACCCCGAATCCCCACCGACTCACCGCACGGTGTGGTGACCACACCGTTTGGGGGCCCCCGATGGGGGTCTCAAAGGGGATGGGGGTGGGTTATTAACCGCTACTGTTAAGTCGGGCCTGTCCCTCTACAGGGGGAATATTCACAAATGGTAAAACAAAAAAAAAAACAAAAAAAAAGTCTGGAGACGATGTTTGAGCATTGCCTGACCATTTTGGCATATTTTCCATGTCTTTAACTTTTCGTCGACAATCCCCATGTACGGCGATGTACGGGGACTATGTTTTGAGTATCTCTTTTACCATTTTGCAATAGTTGTTCGATATTTTGTCATTACTCGTCGAAGCTCCCCCCTGCATGGGGGACAGGCCCGACGTAACGCTACGGAACCTGGGTACAGTTTTTGTTGCGTATGTTTTATACCAGTTTGGAATGTCTTTTCGTTTGTTTTCACTTTGCGTCGAAGCTCCCCCCTGCATGGGGGACAGGCCCGACGTGGCGCTACGGAACCTGGGGACTATTTGTTGCGTATTCGGTTCACCATTTTGGCATATATTTTTTCACTTGCTTTTCACTCGTCGTCGAAGCTCCCCCTGCGTAGGTGGAACAGGCCCGACGTGGCGCTACGGAACCTGGGGTCCATTTGTTGCGTATTTGTTTCACCACTTTGGCGTATTTTTTCACTTGTTCTTCACTCGTCGTCGAAGCTCCCCCTGCAGGGGGGACAGGCCCGACGTAACGCTACGGAACCTGGGGACTATTTGTTGCGTATTCGGTTCACCATTTTGGCATATATTTTTTCACGTGCTCTTCACTCGTCGTCGAAGCTCCCCCTGCGTAGGGGGACAGGCCCGACGTGGCGCTACGGAACCTGGGGACTATGTGTTGCGCATTCGGTTCACCATTTTGGCATATTTTTTTTCACTTGCTCTTCACTCGTCGTCGTCGTCGTCGAACATTTTTTACTTGGGGGGCGGAAAGATACGGATACGTGTTGTCCCCGGACCTCTCTTGGGGTGCGTTCTGACCAGAAGTTCGAGGCGAATCCAGCGGTGACAACGAGGATTCCCCAGGAGGACCAGGAAAGGCCGAAAACGAAGGGGGACAACACGTATCCGTATCTTTTTCTCCCCCGATTTACCATTTTGGAATATTCTTCCGCATTTTTCACTTTTCGTCGAAGTTCCCCCTGCGTAGGGGGGACAGGCCCGACGCAACGCCACGGAGCCCTGGAGAGCCGGCGCGACCCCCGCCTGCGGCCGCGGACTCTCTCGGCGGCCGGGGCGCCGGCGGGCCGAGCTGCGCCCCGCGGGGGGGGGGGCAGGTGGTGGGGCCTCCTCCTCCTCCTCCTCCTCCTCCTCCTCCTCCTCCTCCTCCTCCTCCTCCTCCTCCTCCTCCTCCGGGCGACGCGCGGGGCCTCTCCAGGGCGGCGGCCCCCCTGCCGCCGCGCGCCCCCGGGTCGCCCCCAGAGCACGGCACGAGAAGGGCCCCCAGGAGGGGCCCAGAAGAGGCTTCGTCCTCCTGCCCCCCCCCCCGAGAGGGCCCCAGGAGGGGCCTAAAAGAGGCTTCGTCCTCCTGCCCCCCCCCCCGAGAGGGCCCCCAAGAGGGGCCCAAAAGGGGCCCAACACCACCACCATCAGTTGCAGGGGGGAAGCAGGCGGAGGAGGAGGAGGAGGAGGAGGAGGAGGAGGAGGAGGAGGAAAGGAGGAGGACCCCCTCCCCGGAGGAGGAGGAGAGGAGGAAGACCCCCTCCCCCTCCAACTTCTGGTGGTGGTGGTGGTGGTGGAGAACAGGCCCATCAGCAGGAGCTTGCCAGCGCTCGGGCGTCCCTTCTCGGAGACGGAGGACTCGGGTCGACGACGAGCAAGAGTGACCCTGGGAAAGAGCGCCCTCTGGCGGGCGGCGTTTGGGGGGCCGCGGGAGGGCCAAACACGAGCGCTCAAGACGCCACTGGTTACCGTGCCGCGTTCGGCGATCGAGGTACCCCAGTGGGCCCGCACCAGAGGTCGGAGCTTGCCATCGCTCGGACGTCCCTTCTGGGAGGCGTTCGGCGGCGAGCCCAGGGGGGAAGTGAGAAGGAGAAGGCATTCTCAGAAGGCTCGGAAGTCCCTGGACCGTCTGAGAAGTTTTCAGAGCCTTCCCCGAAGACACGAGGGCTTCTGAGAAATCCCGCCGCCTTCTGAGAAGGCCTTATCCTTCTCATTCCCCCCCTTCGCTCGCCGCCGAGACGTAAGACTCGGGTTCGGGGGACTCGGGTTGGCCTGACGGGGTCATCCTGAGAATGACGAGACCCAGTCTGAAATCTGACGCGACCTCCCGCTGCAGACATCCCACGAAAACTGGACCGTCCAAATCTGGGACGCGCTTGCCAATAAGCGTCGGCAAAACCCAACTTCTAGCGTACACGAGTCTTACGTTTCCCCGATCCATGACTGCCTACCAGACCACCCCAACCCAACCCGAGGGCCCAAATTTCGGATTGGGGGGGGTACAGCTTCCACATGTGCGTTTCCAGTCTTCCCCGACGACCCCCCCCCACTGGAAATGGAGGGCAGATCAGGGCCTTCGGGTTGGGTCGGGGTGGCTTGGTGGGTGGTGAGTCAATCCCCCACGCTTGCACGGTTTCCCCCAGGGCCATAGGCGACCCGAGGAGGAGGAGGGGGAGGAGGAGGAGGAGGAGGAGGAGGAGGAGGAGGAGGAGGAGGAGGAGGAGGAGGAGGAGGAGGAGGGGGAGGAGGAGGTAGTGGGAGGGGGAGGGGAGGGGAGGAGGAGATGGAGGAGGAGGAGAGAGGAGGAGGAGAGGAGGAGGAGGAGGAGGATGGAGGAGGAGAAGGGAGGAGGAGGAGGAGGAGGAGGAGGAGGAGAGAGAAGGAGGAGGGAGGAGGAGGAAGGGAGGAGGGAAGGGGGAGGAGGAGGGGGAGGAGGAGGACGGGTCTCCTGAGCCCTTTCGAAGAAATGCTCCACCCGCGCTGCTCTCGCAGGGTGATCCAAGACACGCTCCTGGATGGCCCAGGCCTTCTGGCGCTGGCCTCGCCGAGGCACCAGCCCACGCCCGAGCGATGCGCGAGAGGCAAGGGGGAGGCGGCCTGCGGATGGCCGCCGCCCGGGGGAGGGGCGGAGAGGGGGCCCTACTGAGGGGCAACGACAGGGAGAGGACCGGCTTCGGGGGGAGAAGGAGGGGCACACGCGGAAAGGGGAGGAGGGAGGGAGGAGGGGGGGGAAGAGGAGGGGGAGGAGGGGCGCGAGCGGGAGGGAGAGGACGACGACTACGACGACGAGTACGAGAACGGCGGCGACGACGACGAGGATGAGGACGAGAAGGACGGGAAAGTCAGGGGAGCCCGGCTCAGGGGGGGGCAAACGTAGCCCTGGAATCGGCCATGCATCGCCGATACAGCGGCCATGGGCCCCCGATAGCGAAGCCGCACGTTCCCGGGCGGGGTGGACTCTCGGGCCCCATGTCGGCGACAAAGGGGCGATTGGGGGTCGGTGCATCCCACCCTGAGCCTATCCCCACCCTGAGGTGGCCCCTGACCTACCCATAGCTCGGAAGCAGGAACAAGCGTGAAGCGTGAGGGCGTCGACAAAACGGTTTGGCCTCCACCCGCCCCCTGGCAAGGGAGGGTAAAGGGAAGACCGCTCGACTCTTGGAACGGGAAGGCACTTTCCAGGTAGATTGGAAGCTGGGAACCCGAAAGCACCTACTTGCAACTGACGGTGGGTACGGTCGGGGCTGGCTGCGGAGGACACCCGAGAAGACACCAAGTCTCTGTTCCGAGGGCAGTCCGCGCTCACGGTGCGAACGTGGCACGAAACGCGAGGGCTGGACAGGACACGAGGGCATCCCTGAGCCTGCAGTGCCTGTGAATGGGAGGGTAGGATCAGAGATCCAAACGGCGCGGTGACAGACCGCGCAGTGACCTCGAAATCCAAGGAGACCTCACCGCACGGTCGGTCCGCCACCACAAGGCTCTAGGACTCGGGAGGCCCCAGGTCGTTCGACGAGACACTCTCGGGGAACGACGCGAGTCCCCAAACCGTGCGGTGACCCCGAATCCTCCTCCCCCCCCTCCTCCTCCTCCTCCTCCTCCTCCTCCTCCTCCTCCTCCTCCTCCTCCTTCACCTCCGCACGGTTCTGGGACCATGCGAGCCCCCGCTGCCAAAGACCTCCCCAGAGAACGACCGAAGGACCCCCAAGGCCGCGCGGCCACCCGAAAGCGAGACTCGCCACGCGGTGTGGCCACCGCACCGAAGCAGGGGGCCCCCGAGGAGCACGGGGGGATCGGCTCAGCTCAGAGGGGATGTGTCGACCACTATCCCAGGCTTCGTGGGGTTCTCGAACGGACCCAAAATGTAGGGCCCGACCCTGGGATACGCAGTGGGGGGGCGCTCACCCTCGAGGGGGCTGCGCCGGAGGAGCTCTCGTGGGGTTCTCCCCAGTGTAGCCCAGGGATTCCCCCCTTTTCTGAGCGGCCAAGCTTTTCGGGCGGAACCCCCAGCCGTCGTCCACGACACCCCCAGCCTCGTCTCATCGAGGGGCGAGCAGAAGGGGGAGGATGGGGAGGAGGAGGAGGAGGAGGAGGAGGAGGAGGAGGAGGAGGAGGAGAAAAATCGCCTGCGATCAGCGTGGCTGGCGCCGAACCCTCGCTGGCGCAGACCCCCGCGGCGTGCGCCTATAGGCGACATGGAAGCCACGGCCACTCCACCCCGGGGGGATGGCAGCTGCCGACCCGGACCGGCGGGCACGGAAGCGGAGGAGGAGGAGGAGGCGGAGGAGGAGGAGCAGGAGGAGGCGGAGGAGGAGGAGGAGGAGGCGGAGGAGGAGGAGGAGGAGGAGGCCGGAGGAGGAGGAGGAGGAGGAGGGGAGGAGGAGGAGGAGAGGAGGAGGAGGAGGAGGAGGTGGAGGAGGAGGAGGAGGAGGAGGGGGGGAGGAGGAGGAGGAGGAGGAGGAGGAGGAGGAGGAGGAGGAGGAGGAGGAGGAAAAGCATTGACAGATCCTCGATCGTCGGCGAAGAGGAGGCGAGGGAGGGAGGGGAGGGAAGGACCGACGTTCTCGAGGATCGAGGCGGTGGAGGGCGATGGAGGCGGAGGAATCGGGGGTCGGAAGGAGTGTTGACGGCCCCGCGGACACGGAAGGGGCCTTCGGAGGCCGGAGCTGGGAAGACGCCTCGAGCGATCGACCGATCGATCAAGAACGACCGATTGGAAAATTACTGGCCGATTGACTGGAGGAGGCGAGGCTGGAACTCACAATTCGGTGCGTGGCAGCGCGTTCTGCAGCGCACGTGCATCCAAAACGTTGCCGCGGAGCTCGGCAACGTATTGGCAGTGCCCCGTGTGGCCGGGGGGTGCAATCATACACCGCTACCATGGCCCTGGCCGAGGGCGGTGGATGCGTGTAGATCTCCTCGACGAAGGCCTTCCTCGAGGAAGGCCTTCTCCACCTCGTTCCTCCCTGGGGGGAGGCTTCCCTCGAGGGAGGCCTTCCTCGAGGAGGGCCTCCTCCGCCCCGTTCTTCCCTCTCCGCCTCCCCCCCTCGGCTTCGAGGCCGTCGCAGGCAAGGCGTCCTCTCTGCTCGTCGCGTGGATGCTCGCGGCGAGCTCCTGTGCCTGCGCCAGGGGCAGGACAGGACAGAACAGCCTGCATGCCAGCTCCGGAGGAGCGGCCCCGCAGTGGGGCAGGCAGCGAGAATAGCACGGCAGACGACGACGACGACGACGACGACGACGACGACGACGACGACGACGACGACGACGACGACGACGACGACGACGACGACGACGACGGCGGCGGCGGCGGCGGCGGCGGCGGCGGCGGCGGCGGCGGCGGCGGTGACGGCGACGGCCTGCGCGAGGGGGAGAGGGATGGCCTACTAAAGAGGCGGGGGGCTTCTCAGGAGGCAGGGGCCTTCTCAGATGTCCTCCCGGCCTCTGAGGCCGCCTTCTTCGGAGCATCTGGGCTAATGTTGCTCCCAATGTACTTACATATCACATCCCAGATATAATTTCGAGCACCCAGAAAAGTATCGAAGCAGTGTCGAACGAGTATCGCCTCCCAGGGCCCGACACGTGAAAACCCTCCAGCTTCGGTGCTTTCCTGGTGCTCGAAATTCTTCCTGGTGAGCAAGGCTAAAGTAGGTTGGAACATCATAAATCTGGGCCTTTCTCAGGGGTTCCCTGCCTTCTCAGAAGCCACGCCGCCTTCTTGCGAGGCCGCCCCCACTTCTAGCGCCACTCCCGTGTGCTCGCCGCCGAGAATCAAACTCGAGCCAGGGTGGATGGAGCACAGTGGCGTCGGCTACAGTAAAGACCAGTCCACAAGAAGCCCAACCCTGAGACTCCAGGACGCCCATAGATCTGTGGTGCGGGAACGCCACGCTTTCCACAGCAAAACCATCTGAACACAAGAGACCCAGGGCACCCTGGAGGCAAGCAGGGTGTTTCTTGGCATGGGTCCCCACTGTATTCCTTTCACCCCATCCCGACCAGTGCCCACGCCACTGCCAGGTGGCCCTGACGTCGAGTCAACAAGTCGAATCGGATGGATCCGAACATCGACTCGGCAAGCATCGGCTAAGAGTCGGCAGCGACATCGAACCGGCAGGCATCGGCAGGGCCGAACCGGATCCATTCCGAAACCTGCAGGACTGACTGGCGCCAGCTCGGCATCGAAATCGGCAGGCATAAGCCGTGCGTCGTCGCACCCGTCGTCGAACGTCGTCGCGCTCGTCACCGAACATCGTGGGAGTTCGTCGTACTCGTCATCGTACTCGTCGAACTCGTCGTCGACCGTCGTCGTACGTCCTCGCATCCGCCGTCGTACTCTTCTCAAGGCCGCCGAAAAGGAAGGGGAGGGGACAAGGGCACGACGGGCGAGACAACGGACGCGACGCGCGCGACGGGCCCGACGAGTCGGCGCGGGCCCCTCTCGAGGTCGCATCCCCCCGCTCGAGGGAGGCCCCGTTCGATGGGGCTCTGGGCGTCTGAGGTTGGAACCTCGAGCCCTTGACAGGGGGGAGTGAGGTCGCAACCTCCTTCGCGGGGGGGAGGTCCGAGGGGGGGGTGCGTGTTGGCCTCCTCTCTCCTTTTGACGGTGGTCAGACTCTAGCGCGGTGGCTGTAGCGTTCTGGTCGGGAAAAATAAAAAAATGCGCGGCCGACTTCGGCAAAGCGACATGATGATTTGACTGTTATGTTGTTCTCCTCTCTCCTCCTCCTCCTCCTCGTCCTCCTCCTCCTCCTGCACAGAAGCGGTGCCGATCCCTCGCGCTCGCGCCCGTCGCGCCCGCGATCCCACTCGTCGCTCCCTCGCGATAAGATCGACGCTGGATCGGCACAGCATCGTACCCAATCGGTCGTCATCGGAGTCGGCGCCGCGCCAGATCGGGTGAACTCGGAATCGGCATCGCGCACCCGAAGGTCGGCACCGAATCGTGTTGGCTCGGCACCTCAATCAATCGATTCAAATCGGGCTGGTCGACTCGGAATGTCGCGGCCCGAGGGAAAAAGGTCCGTCATGTTCCAAAATGAACGGATGAACAGAAAAAGAAAAGTAAAAAGAGAAGTAAGAAAACCGAAGATAAGTCCAAAAAAAATGCATGGGCATAAAATGTCGTAGGTCCGCGCGGATCTCTTGGGTCTGTGCTGGACCCCTCTACCTGGCGCGCGGAGCGCGTCAGCGTCGATCCAAGAGATCCCCGTGGAGCTCCGACAATTTATGTTTACGCTTAGGTCGGGCATGTCCCCCTACGGGCGGACGTCGAGGGAAACATTAAAAGTTGCCCAAACATGCGGGAAACAAACATTCAAAAACAGTTCAAAAAATGGTCCCCGGACTATGTGTGGACTATTGCTGACGATTCCTTCTATAGAGGGACGTGTTCGACTTAAGCTTATGCTTCCGCAGCCCTTTCTTCGTCGATGCTCGCCGCTTTGTCGGGCCGAAGGGCGCGCAGAGGGCGAGGCAGCAAGTGAGCCACCAGAGGAGGCGATGGGGAAGCGCAGATCCAGCCACACACCTGCTCCTCCTCCCCCTCCTCCTCCTCCTCCTCCTCCTCCTCCTCCTCCTCCTCCTCCTCCTCCGCCTCCTCCTCCAACTCCTCCTCGCTCCTCATCCCCTCAGCCCTCCTCCCTTCCCGTTCGTTGTCCTCCTCCTCCCTTCCCTCCCCCTCCTCCTTCCTCCCCTTCTTCCTCATCCTCCTCTTCTCCTCCGCCCTCCTCCTTTATCCTCCTCCTCTCCGCCCTCATCCTCCTCTCTCCTCCTCCTCCTCCCTTCCCCCTCTCATCCCCCCCCCCTCCTCCCTCTCCCTTTTCCTCCTCCTCTCCCCCTTTCCCCTTCCCTCCTCTGCTCTCCTTTTTTTTTACCTCCTCCTCACTCCTCCTTCTCCTCCTCCTCCCCTCTCCGCATCCTCCTCCTCTTCCTCCTACCTCCTCCTCCTCTCCTCCTCCGCGTCCTCATCCTCTTCCACCTCCTTCCTCTCTCCTCTCCTCCTCCTCTCTCCTTCCGCCTCCTCCTCCTCCTCAGCCTCCTCCTCCTCCTCCTCCTCCTCCTCCTCCTCCTCCTCCTCCTCCTCCTTCTCTTCCTCCTCCTCCCCCTCGAGTCATGACAAAAATCACAGGGGAAAAGTGACTGGTAACGGAGTGGGGGGGAGCCTGACGGGAGAGGAATCCTGGGGCCGAGCAAACTGGCATTGACCGTCACAATGGCGCTTGCAATCGCAGGGGGAGAAGATGTGCCCACGGCCCCCGTCATAGGTATATCAGAACTGGCGCCCACGCTACCACGCCCGAGATCTGCATGTTCACCCACGGGTGCCGAGGGAGAAAGTGGCGACGACACTGCACCACATGAAACGAACGCCGGTCTCGAGGCATCGGGCAAAACGGCAACGTTGAACCTGGACGCATCCGCGCCAGGATTTGGTAGAATAGCACCACCATCAACCATCTGAGATGCAGCGGCCGTGCTCTGTGACATACACATTGCACGGGGTTCCGCCTCAGAGCTCTGCCCAGCCAGCCGAACGAGCGGCGCTGAGGGTAGCCAGCGCGTGCCAATAGGATCATCACCCCAAGACACACGTGCCACTGATGCTGTAGCCGGTCTCGTTGATACGGAAGCTGCAACCCCGCTTCCAAGGGACTCGTCTCGAACCGAAGGCATGGGTACTGACAGACCAACACAACAGCCAATGACCAGGAACATGCTACTTAGTAGTACGGGCCCTCTTGCAAGCCTCGACGCAGGATGTTTGAAACCGCTTGAACCGTTCTTTGACAACTTCCTCAGACTCCGTGGCATCCACCTGAACCCCAACAGCCTCAATGGTTGCGCGAATGTCAGCTTCCCCCATGTCCAGGTCAGGAGGCTCGTCAGCGGCGGCTCCCTGGGGAACTCCGTCTGGTGGCGCCTGCTGCTGAGGAGGTGGTGAAGGCGGCGTCTGTGGTGCTGCTTGGAGCTTCTCGACCGTCTCCGCCATGGTTTGTAGCCCAGCCGTGAGATCAGCACCCAAGCCCAAAGAGCCAGCCACCCGACCCAGCTGCTCGACAGACACCGCGAAACCAGGAAGCATCTCGTGGAGGGTGGGCGGCTTAGACGCGTCTGGCGGGCTCACCTGCGACATAGCCATGCGAGTCTCCTCCTCCAGCCGGACCACCTCCGAAGTAGCTGCGCCCAGCTTCTCCTCCGTGTGCACACAGTGGCCCTGCAGCTGCTGAATCTGGGCACGTTGCTCATCGACCGCCTTGCGCATGCTGGACTCGTGCGCTCGGGCCTGCTGGAACTTGGACGCCAGCGAACGAGTTTGATCCTCGATCGGACGACCGTTAAACAACTCTCGCTCCAGACTCTCCTTTTCTGCTTTGAAAGTGGCGAGCACCTCTGCGTCACGCTATGTTGACACCACACGCATAATGCCATCCAATTCCTTGATGCGCTTGCGCTTGCCGTCCACTCCTTGAGCATCGCCAACGGCTGGGCCGGGGTCAGCATCACCAGCAGGAGCAGGCTGACGCACGCGGCGTAGCTCAGCATGAAGCTCCGCCACCTGCTTGGCCAGGTCCTTCTGCTTGGAAGCGAACGGCGGCTCACCTGCGGCTGGCTTCTTCGGGCCCCCGTAGCAGATGCCCTTGCGAAGTTTGCACAGCTTGTACGTGAACGCGCCCGCAGTGTTAAACCACTGCTTGCCATTTCTCGGGTTGACGCACGTCTTGCACACCCAAGCCTGCCCACTCTGCCTGCGGGTAGGCGCCATGGGCCCGACGTGGCTGCCATGGACAAGAGCTGCTCCGACAGGAGCTCACACAAAGCGAAAACAAAAAGGCTTGAGCCAAAATGGCTACGGAGTGAGGAAGGAGGGAAGAGACAAGGGGGTGGGAGAAAGATCGAGCATGATAGAGATATTTGCAGAAGCGGGGATTGCAGAAGCGGGGATAGGAGCAGAAATGCAAGCGACAAAACCAGACGGGTGGGTCGGCCGGGCGGACTCTAACAGGCGGGTCAGGCGGGCGGGCCCAAACGGCCGGGTCGAGCGGGTCGCTGAAGCGACAAGCCAACATGAATCACGAAAAAATTCGAGCGATAGCGCGATTCCCAAGCAAATCGTGAGAAATCCAAAGCGACAGCGTGACTCCTGCGTGTGGGGTGCGCGGCGCTTCAATGAATCGCGAGGAATTACCACGCGAGAGCGCGATTCCTGCAAAAGTTGTGGGGATGTCCCGCGCGAGAGCGCGATGTTGATTAAGTTGTGGCGAAGAATCAAGCGGGAAACGGTATTGTTCGAGGGCCAGCAGCCAAATCGGAGGCCTAAAACACGGTGCGAGTCCTGGTAGGAACACTCTAACTGAGAAAACAGAATGGGCACCGAGGGGTGGATCAACAATGACTGCTCTATACGAGAACTCGACAACAGCATCGCCATCATCTGCCTGATCCTGATCCTCAACCTCTCCCTCTCGGGAGCACCTGACCGACCCCTGGCAAACCATCCCCTTCCGTGACGTCATGCTCGCCTTTCGAGCTTCTCTCTGGCTCTGCACACGTACGTCTTGGGGCGAGGCGAGGGAGACGCCACGGAAGGGGATGGCTTGCTGGGGGTCGGTTAGGCCGCCCCTGACCCTCGACCTCCCCCTCATCATCCTCATCACCGCCACTGGGTACCATCACTACCACCACCGTCTTCGGCGCCGCCGCGGACAAGCGGCGAGGAGACTGGAGGGGGGGAGTGCCCTCAGGGGCGCGAGCCCGCCTGCGAGGCCTCGCTGGCGTCCAGGCAGGCTCCGGGCTGGCGGGGCGGAATGCTCGATGATCCTCTGACCCGTGGTAGCCCCAACGTGTTTTTGTCCATCGAGGACCTTCGATACGACGCAAGCGATGTAATGATCTACTGGTAGGGCTGAAGAGGGCAAACACACATTGGGCTAACACACGTCCTGAGGATCATCGAAGTGCGGGGGGCGGGGGAAAGCAGGGCGGCCGGCAGGGGGGGGAGGTGGGGCAGGGAGCCCAGATCTCCGTAAAAGCCTCCCAGATGGGGTCGGAGCAAATGGGGTTGCAGGATCGCGCCGCACATCGCCGACGCATCGACGATGCACCGAAGACGTTGGCGGTCCATCGGCGACGCCAGCGCGGAGAATATCGCGCTCCACATCGAACTGCATTGCCGATGCACCCGCAATGCGGCGCGATCCTCCGTCCCCATTTACTTGGACCCCATCTGGAAGGCCTAGACTCCGGCGAGACGGTTCGCAAACATCCTGTGGCGTTAGGTCCTCGTTCTGAAGAGACAGGGCCCCGCGTCTCACTCCCAACCCATCCGTGCCTCTATTCTCTGCATGTCCTCATCGTCATCATCATCAGCGTCAGCATCGTGTTCGCCCTCGTCATCATCATCGTCATCATCATCAGCTGCAGCAACATCATCAACATCATAAGCACCACCATCATCATCATCATCATCATCATCATCATCATCATCATCATCATCATCATCATCATCATCATCATCATCATCATCATCATTATCATCATTACCATCATCAGCAGCCGAAACATCATCATCATCATCATCATCATCATCATCATCATCATCATCATCATGATCGGCATCAATATCATCATCATCATCCTCATCATCATCATCATCATCATCAGAATCAGCAGCATCATCATCAGCATCATCATCAGCAGCAGCATCATCATCTGCATCATCATTGTCATCATCAGCATCATCATCATCAGCGTCATCGACAACGTCATCGTCATCGTCATCGTCATCATCGCTATATTCCTCGTCATCGTCATCATCAGCATCATCAGTATCAATCATAACCATCATCAGCCTTATCAGCATCATGAGCATCATCAACAGATTCGTCTTCAGCAGCATTATCAATATCATCGTCATCATCGTGTCCTCATCATCATTATCATCATCAGCATCAGCATCATCACCATAGCCGTCGTCATCATCAACATCATCATCGGCACCATCATCAGTGTCATCGTCTTCGTCAGCAGCATCGTCGTCATCACCGTCACCTCAGCATCGCGAACATCATCATAATCACCACCACCACCATCATCATCATGATCGTCGTTGTTGTCGTTGTCATGATCATAACCATAATCAGTATCATCATCATCATCATCATCATCATCATCATCATCATCATCATCATCATCCTCAGAATCATCATCATCATCATCATCATCATCATCATCATCATCATCATCATCATCGTCATCATCAGTATCATCATCATCATCAGCAGCAGCAGCAGCATCGTCATCATCGTCCTCATCATCATCGTCGTCCACGTCGTCGTCGCCATCCTCGTCGTCCACATCACCATCGTTAGGATCGTCATCATCACCATCAGCATCATCATCAGCATCAGCATCATAATCAGGATCAGCATGATCATAATCAAATCATCATCAGCATCAGCGTCATCATCATTACCGTCGTCATCATCATCATCACCACCATCACCACCATCATCACCATCGGCATCGGCATCAGCATCATCAGTATCATCAGCCTCATCACCATCATCACCAGTAGCGGCAGCAGCAGCCCCATCACCGGCATCATCATCATCATCATCCTCATCATCATCATCCTCATCATCATCAGCATCATCATCATCAGCATCATCAGCATCATCATCACCATCATCATCATGATCTTCATCAGCAGCAGCATCACTATCGTCGTCGTCGCCGCCGTCGTCGTCGTCATCCTCAGCACCATCGGCCCTCGGCCGCCCATGTCGGCACACCCCTCACCACGTCTCGTGGCCCCATTGGGGGCTCCTCAGCGAAGGCCCCAGAGGCACCGTCCACATGAGGGCGTCACGCCCGTTGCGGCACACCCCTCACTCGTTCCGTGGTCCCTAGTAGGGAGCTCCACCGGAGGCCCCAGTGGCAGGGTCCGCATGTGGGCGCCACCACCGTTTCAGCACAGCCCTCACACGTGTCGTGGCCCCATTGGGAGCTCCACCGAAGGCCCCAAAGGCAGCGTCCACATGTTGGTGGTGTCGAAGACGGAGGGGGCTGAGTATAATGTCATTTTCAATGTATCTTGGGGAGGGGGCCTGTCGAGTATCCGGTGCTGCGTTGGAGACGAAGGCTGCGGAGTACTGCGTGTGCTGTTGGAGACGGAGGAGTGTTGAGTAGAAGGCTGTTTTCAAGTCCATCTTGGGGAGGGAGCCTGTTGAGAATCGGGTGCCGCGTTGGAGACGAAGGCTGTGGAGTACTGGGTGTGGTGTTGGAGACGGAGGAGTGTTGAGTAGAAGGCTGTTTCCAAGTTCATGTTGGGGAGGGAGCCTGTTGAGTATCGGGTGCTGCGTTGGAGAAGAAGGCTGCTGAGTACTGGGTGCGGTGTTGGAGACGGAGGAGTATTGAGTAGAAAGCTGTTTTCAAGTTCATCTTGGGGAGGGAGCCTGTTGAGTATCGGGTGCTGCGTTGGAGAAGAAGGCTGCTGAGTAGTGGGTGTCGTGTCGGAGACGGAGGAGTGTTGAGTAGAAGATTACTTTAAAGTTCATCTTGCGGAGGAAGCCTGTTGAGCATCGGGTGCTGCATTGGAGAAGAAGGCGGTGGTGTCGGAGACGGAGGGAGTTGAGTAGAATGTTATGTACAATTCATCTTAGGAAGGGAGCCTGTTGAGAATCGGGTGCGGAGAATAAGGCTGTTGAGCACTGGGTGTTCGAAACGGTTGCACTTGCAGGGGGCGAACATCGCTCCGAAGTTGAGCCGGAAAGCTCTTCATCAAAATGTGCATCGAAATTGACTCGGAAAATCGTGGAAATCGTTGATAAATTCATATAGAATCTGGCCAAAGGGGGTTTCATGGTGCGTGCTGAAATCTATACATATATATACACACGCTACATACTGCTATATCGGGTAAGCTGGTGTGTGGTCATGAGAGGCGAATAAAGCCTCTTACGATGAGCATGTATGACAGGCTTGCCGCGCCCTCAAATATTTGATCTTACATCTCTCTAACAAAAGGCCTGACGGCAAACGTAAGCAAGGTGACCTGAGTCGGGAGAAACCTGGATAAGCTTATGTCGGGTCGGACAAATCGGGGGGTAGCAAAATGGGGGTTAGCGAATCAGCTCAAGCCACCGATTCTCCCAGCGCCTCCCAACATCGGTGTCGACTGTGCTTCAAAGAAACTGCCCGGCGGTGGGGCCGAAACAAACTGCCCGCGGAAGCTTTCGCAACCCCTCTTTTCCCACCCACCCACGCTTTCGTCCGACCCAGAACCCGTGGGCCGATTGGCACGCCCGCAGCGGGTACGGAAAAGCATTGCACGATACCCGACAGCAAAGATTGCCCAGAACCCTCAGCGACCGCTGTAGAGCAGGCGATGTTCTCCCTCAAGCGGGCAACGTTCGCGGCGACGCCGACGGGCCAACAGCAAGCCCTGGTCAACTTGGGCAGGAACTGTCGTCCGCCTTCGTTCCCGCTCTTTCCGTACCCATCTTGATCGTACTGAGCCTACGGCAGGCTCGTGTCGTGACGACTTCGGTATTGGTCTCTGGCACCGCCTGGATCTCTCAACCTTCCACGACCGTCGGCCTTTCGATTGCCCGATCTTTGTCCGATTCTGGGCCACTGGCGGTATTCAACATTGAGCGCCCGCGCTGGAGTCCCAGCCGCGTCGACACGGCGCGAACCTACCGTACCAATGTTGATCGTACTGAGACTAGGCAAGCGGCAAGCCAGGCCCTGGACTCCAGGCCAGCCGACGGAAGCACATGCCACGCCCAACAGTGAGGGGGAACGTCGGGGGGGGTACCGGCTCAGGGAGAGAAAGCACCTCGCTGCAATCGGCGACGCGTCGCTAATAGATCGGCGACCGCAAGCTCCTTGGCGGGGTGGTCTGTCGGGCCCCCATGTCGGCGACGAATGGGCGAGCTGGGAGTCTATGCATTCCCCCCTGAGCCAGTCCCGTTCCCAATGGCTTCTGGTCAACAACTCGAGCCAATGGCAACCGCTCGGGACGACCCGTGCAACCCCAGAGACCTCTCGGCGAGGCGCAGCTGCTGGAGAGTGTCCCGAGGCTGAAGACCGCCGACATCGGACGCAAGCAACGCCCGAAATGATGAAAGAGCAACATACACACTCGGAGCTGCGGGGACGAGGGCTGGGGAAGGGCAAGGAGATGAAGGCGCCGTAGTGTATGGGTGCGAGCTGTCGGACCCCGAGGGGGGCCCCTGTTTGAGCGGGGACCCCCATCTGACAATCATGACGGAAACTTCGAACCTCTAGCCGCCCCCCCACCGAGCCCTGGAGGCGGCCAGGGGTTCTGAGCTGGTAGGGTCGTGGGAACATCGGTCGGGAGGGGTGGTAGAAGAAAGGCAACTCCGCTCAAAAATGTGTGCCCGGACCCCTCCCAAGACCCGTGCGGTGCAATCTCGCACCGCTGCTCCGTATCCGACTGTCCCAGGGCCCGGAAACGGTCCCCCAAGACCCAAGAAGGCAAAAAAGTCCTTGTCGAACTCAGCACACCGAACCTGCCCCGCCTTCCTGCTGGCCGGAATAAACGCTGGGCCACCTCAGGTCCCCAGCCGACTCCAACCTGAGCCCCTCTCGGCGGCGAGCGAGGAGGGGAAGTGATGAGGAGGAGGCCTTCTCAGAAGGCGGCGGAGCAGAAGTTTTATGTCTTCGCTTCTCAAAGGCCGGAGGCCTTCTGGGCATTCTGAGAAGGCCCGCCCCTTCTCACTTCCCCCCTGGGCGCGCCGCCGCCTGGGCCCCATTGGCCGATTTACCACCCCAGATGGGGAGATCGGCTGCTCCCCTCGGATTTCGAGGGGTAACTGGGGTGGTGGGATGGTGGGGCTCGGCATGGGGATGGGGGAAGGAGGAGGAGGAGGGAAAGAAAGAGGAGGAGGAGGAAAAGGAGGAGGAGGAGGAAAAGGAGGGGGAGGAGGAAAAGGAGGAGGAGGAGGAGGAGGAGGAGGAAGAGGAAGAGGAAGAGGAGGAGGGGAGGGGGGAGAGGAGGAGGGGGAGAGGGGGAGAAGGAGGAGGAGTGAGAGGAGGGAGGAGGAGGAGGAGGGAGGCGGAGGAGGAGGAGGAGGAGGTAGGAGGGGAGAAGAGAAGGAGGAGGAGGAGGAGGGGGAGGAGGGGGAGGTGGAGGATGCGGTGGAGGAGGAGGAGGAGGAGGAGGAGGACGAGGAGGAAAATGAGGAGGGGATCGCTGAAACTGTAGTTATACTGAGAGCCTAGCCCCCTCTGAGGGCCCCACAGAGGCCCTGGGCCCCAGTGCAGCCGACGGAGAGTCCGTGCCGCGCACGCCGCGGCGGGCGGCCAGCCAGCGCACGGCGGCGGCGGCGCCGGCGGCGGCCGCTCCGCGGCCCGCGGCGGTCAGCGAGCGGCGCGCCGTGGCAGCGGCGAAGGGAGTGTCTCCGTCCAGGGGCACAGCAGGTCCCCCCGCTCCGCCTCACCCTCCTTACTCCCCCCCCCCACCCACCCCTCCTCCCCGCCTACCTACTCTCCTCGTCCTCCTCCTCTCCCTCCTCCTCCCCCTCCCCCCCTCTCCCCCTCCTCCTCCTCCTCCTCCTCCTCATCCTCCTCCTCCCCTCATCTATCCTCCTCCTCCTCCTCCTCCTCATCCTCCTCCTCCTCGTCCTCCTCCGAGGCCCCCCAAAGGAGCGACGAAACTCCGCCGACCCTGTTGGTGTGAGTGTGTGTGTGGGATGCTTTTCCGTCTGAGTCGTCGTCCTCGTCGCCGTTGTCGCAGTCACCAGCTGCCCCCTCTTCAAACGTGCCTGCCAAAGAGAAATCGAGCAGCGTCGTGATCGAGTCGAAGGGAACCCCTTCCCGTCGATCCCTTCCCCGCCGGGCGGAGGGGGGTCCGGGGGGTTATTACCCCCCCGTGGGGGAGCACCCCTCCCAAAAAGAAACTTTCCTCTTCGGTTCCTTGCCTCCCAGCCGCTCCGGGCACCCCCTACAGGGTAAGCGGCACCAGCCGTAAGGCCTTCACAATAAACTGGTATTACGCACGATGACATAGCGACCTTACGCTGTGGCTCACGCGGGCTGCCAGCGCGGCCCGCTACATCGAAAACAATGGGGCTCATGCGCGGCCTTACGCGGGAAGCTCACGCGCGAATGTCGGCGCAGACGAACCCATTTTCTTCCGCCGCTGAGATGGAGCCCGAATAGATGGGGTAGGAGGATCGTGACGCATCGCCGATGCATCGCCGATGCGCTGGCGATGAAGCGGCAACGTCGGCGGTGCATCGGCGAGGTCGGCGCGAAGAGAATCGGCCTCCACATCGCGCCGCGGCGCCAATGCATCGGCGGTGCGGCGCGAGCCTCCGACCCCATGTGCTCGGACCCCGTTTGCAAGGAGGCCCCGAGGGCGGGCCACGAGGCCCCAAGTCGGGCGTTACCAGGGGTGCCCCTGGCACAGCGTGTCCACAGGATATTTTTCAGGGAGGCCCAGGCGGCCTCCAGAGCAGCCCTCTCTGGGCCCCTGGGGGCCCGAGGGGCTCCAAGATGGCACGAGAGGATGGGGGGAAGCCTTGGGCCAGGCCTCACGGGGCCCGTGGGGCCCGAGGGGCTCCAAGATGGCACGAAAGGATGGGGGAACCTTGGGCCAGGGCCAGCTTGAGCAACACCAACACCCGACAAGGGGCGCCAAAGCAGGACAGGCCAGCATCGAATGAATCGGAAGAGCGAATCGAATCGAAAAAATGTGCGTCGGGATCGGGCCGCACTGGCACGGAGTCGGAATCGGATCGGATCGATCGGATCCAGTTGGACCCTGCCAAGGTGCTCCTATGGGGTTCCGCCCACGGGCGGCGGCGGTGGCTCGCCAGAGGCACCCGCGGTCCTCTCCTCAGAGAGCAGCGGGTGCGCAGCCAGCAGTCCTTGCACTCAAAGATGTTGTCGTTCACGATGACTATATCGCTGACGTGCTTTTGAACGGAGTCCTTCGCCTTCTTGCAGGGACGCCAGTCCTTGTGGCGGGCCGGCAGAGCAACCACCTGGAAGAGAAACCAGCATGACAGCAGCGAGAGGCCAAACAAGCACCGAGAGGCAGGAACGCGTCAGAAGCAGACAGACGGACCCGGACAGAATGCGCATGAACGGACAGGCGCGCCGGCAGAGCAACCAGCCGGAAGAGAAGCCAGCAGGACGGCAGCGAGAGGCCAAGCGAGCACCGAGAGGCAGGAACGCGTCAGAAGCACACAGACGGGCTCGGGCAGAAGGCGCACGAGCAGACGGGGCACGTCGCCACAGGGCCAGGGAGGCGCGCACGCACCGATGGCGTGCCCAGGACATGCCCTGGCCGGGACCGGCGGGGCGATGGGCCGACGCCGCGTCCCCCGACCACGAACGGGCCCCGCGAGGGTAAGATCCGTCGGCATCGAATCGGGAGATCGGATCCACTCGGATTGTGCGTCGACTCGGGCCTGCATCGGCGAGGAGTCGAGACGGAGTCGGATCGGCTGCGCCGGGATGCACAGCAGCGCCGTGCGAGCATCCAGCCGCCCCGGATCGCTGGGAAGCCGAGCCTGAAGCGAATCGAGACGGCCGACGTCGACCTCGAAGCGGACGCATCGGATCGCAGTGGACCCTAGAGTGAGGTCGGGCATGTCCCCCTACAGGCGGCTTTTGGGCGAAAACTATAAAATTTCAAAACAAAAAACAAAAAAACAAGACAGTCACAAATATTAGAACAAATCGTCCCCAGACTAGTGTTTGGCTATTCCTCCTGGAGAGGGACACGCCCGATTTCACCCTGGAGGCGCGGGGGGCAAGGCGGGCTCCTCGATCTTCTCGCGGGGCCACCTCGGAAGTCCACGCGGCTCTCTCGGATCCGCGCTGACCCCCCTAGCGACGCCCCCGGCGCCGCCCCTGGCGTGCTCCGCGCGCCAGGGAGGGGGGCCCAGCGCCGATCCAAGAAGCCTGCGCGGACCTCCGAGTTTTTATGTTTACGTCATTCTTCGTTCCCCTAGAATCGGACCGATCGGATCGCGGTGGATCGGGTCGGGCGAAAGGGGGGGATAGCAAAGAGGGGGTTAAGAATCAGCTCACGTAGCTGATTTTCCCGGCGCGGCGCCTTCTGGCGCCGGAGGCGGCCATGTATCGAGGAATGGGCCCCTCGGTGAGGCCGAAACCAGCTGCATGCAGCAGATTTCGTAACCCCCCCTTTCCCAATCCCCCCCTTTCGTCCTGCCCGAGTGGACCCTGGAGAAGGCTGAGGGGGCAGGGCGGGCTCCTCGATCTTCTCGCGGGGCCACCTCTCCTGCCAGGACCACGCCTCCCCTCGCCAGAAGGCCAGGCGACAGCGCGCGCCGGGAGCGCCGCCCTCCTCCTCCTCCTCCTCCTCCTCCTCCTCCTCCTCCTCCTCCTCCTCCTCCTCCTCCTCCGACTCCGACTCCGACTCCGACTCCGACTCCGACTCCGACTCCGACTCCGACTCCGACTCGACTCCGACTCCTACTACGTCTACTCCTCCGACTCTTCCGCTCCTCCTCCTCCTCTCCTCCTCATCTCCTCCTCCTTCCTCCTTCTTCTCTCCTCCTCCTCCGCCGCCGCCACGCCTCTCCGCCTGCTCATCCTCCTCCTCCTCCTCCTCCTCCTCCTCCTCTCCTCTCCTTCCTTTTGTCCTCCTTGTCCTCCTCTCCTGCTCCTCTCCTCCTCATCCTCCCCCTTGTCCTCTTTGTCTCTCCTTCTTTCCTCCTCACTCTCCTCCTCCGTCTCCGACTCAGACTCCCGACTCCGACTCGACTCCGACTCCGGACTCCGACTCCGACTCCGACTCCGATTCCGGACTCCTCGGACTCCGACTCGACTCGACTCCGACTCCGACTCCTCGCCCTCCTCCTCCTCCTCCTCTCTCTCTATCACCTCCTCCTACTCCTCTTCCTTCCTCTCATCCGCCTTCGTCCTCTCCGCCTCCTCCGCCTCCTCCTTCCTTCCTCCTACTCTCCTCCTTCATCCTCCTCCTCCCGTCCTCCTCCTCAGCCCCTCCTCGGCCTACTCTCTCCTCCTCCCTCCTACCTCCTCCGCATCTCCTCCTCCGCCCTCCTCCTCCGCCTCCTCCGCCTCATCCTCCTCCTCCTCCTCCTCCTCCTCCTACTCCTCCTTCTTCCTCGCCTAGCCTCCTCTCCTCCTCCTCCTCCTCCTCCTCCTCCCTCTCCTCCTCCCCTCCTCCTCCTCCTCCTTCTCCTCCTCCTCCTCCTTCCCTTCCTCCTCCTCCTCCTCCTCCTCCTGCACCCCCCTCGACGACAAGGGAAAGGCTCGGCCGGGCGCGGCTCGGTGGGGCCGAGTTCGGCCAGGCCGAGCTCGGCCCAGGCCCGAATAGCTTGGCTTAGGTCGGGCATGTCCTGCTGGAGGCGGATTTCGGAGGGAACATAAAAAATAACCCCCAAAATACTCAAAGCCAGTCCTCGAAAAAAACAAAAATAGTCAAAAAACAAACATACTCAAAAAAATAGCACCCCGAAAAAAGTACTCAGAAATGGTCAATAAGTCGTCTCCAGACTGGTTTGTGGCTATTCTTGAGCATTCCTCCTGTGGAGAGACAGGCCCGACGTAGGTCCGGCCTGGCGGAGCTCTTGGACGCTTGGAAGGGGCACTGCTGAGAAAGATGGGTGCAAGGCCGGGCGGCACATGCTGTCCAAAACCGACAGGGACCGCTGCTGGGCAGGCGGCATGCTGCCTCAAACGGGGCCACGCCCGCGGCGGCACCGACAGCGAGCGCCGTTCCGAATGGACAGGAACTGCTGCCAGCCTTCGTGCCCATTCTTTCCGTACCCATTTCGATCGTATCGAGAGCCCAGCCTGGCCATTTTGTTGTACGAAAGACACGGGTCCTGAGGACCAGTTCTTCATCCTGAGTCGTTTTCTGACGGTCCCGGGGCCCGCAGAGGGCCCTGGGAAGCCAAAAAAGAAACAATCTCAGGACCCGTTCCCCTCAGGCCCCGTTTCCCTCATGGCGAGCTGTTCCTGGCCGAGCTCGGGTGCTACCCACCTATCGGAAACCCATACTATTTACATGGTTTCGTGCCCTTCCCACCTCTCCAGGGAGGCCCCGCCTGAGCGAGGAGGGTATCGGAAACCCATACTACTTACATGGTTTCGTGCCCCTCCCACCCCTCCAGGGAGGCCCCGCCTGAGCGAGGAGGGTATCGGAAACCCATACTATTTACATGGTTTCGTGCCCTTCCCACCTCTCCAGGGAAGCCCCGCCTGAGCGAGGAGGGCTCCCCGCCCCCCCCTCGCGCGCGCACGAGAAGGAGCCGCGGGCGGGGCGAGCTCGGGTGCTGCCCCAACCCCACCCTCGCGCGCGCACGAGAAGAAGCCGCGGGCGGGCCGAGCTCGGGTGCTGCGCGCGAGAGAGACCCGCGGGCGGCCCTCCGCGCGCGGGGCGGCGCTGCAGGGCGGGAGCGGGGCGCCGCGCCGCCCCAGGCGCGCGCAGCGCCCCGAGCTGCTCCCCGCGCGCGCCCCCCTGGCAGCCCCGGCCGGCCCTCCCTCGCTCCCGGGGGCTGGCTTCCCGTCCCGGGCAGCTCCGGCCATCGGGGACAGCACATCCCCCCCCCCCAAGCCAGGGCCCCCAGCTCCCGACCTGGCCATCGGGGGGGGTTCCTGGCCGGGAGTGACGGGGCCGCTGCTTGCCTTGGGAAAAAACAGGACGCACCCTCCTCCGTTTGCAGAGATGTGGCCAACCAGAGGACCTTGGGCCAAC